GGGGCCACAGCAAACACTTATCATTAGGTGGACTGTGTGCTCGTTTGTCATCCTTATCGCATAAAAAATTATTTAGACTATAATTAGTTTCTGTTCTAATTATATATAATATAGTACTAATTATTATTATTATTTTATTGATAGGTAGGTACCTAAATATTTTTATTAATAAGTAAAAAAATATTGAAAAATCAAAAAAAATATTACAGAATTTAAATTTACAAATATCAATATTCAAAAGTTTTATTGAACCGTGAGTAAAGGTTACAAGCTATTTTTTATAGCTATATTAGGTATCTAAAATACGAGGCGTTTTAAACGCATTCATTGTACCGTTGATGCTTTCAAACCCATGAGTTACGCGCCCTCTATTGCGTGGGAAAATTCCCATAAACTCTGAGCGTATCAGTACTTTTGTTCTTAAATCTTAACACTACAAGATAATTTCAAAATTACAGTTATTAAGTTTGTCAGTAATAGCATGGTAATTTTATCTATAAAAATTACCGCGGTAATAATGCGGCGGATTGATGTGCATTTAATTTCACGTTATCTGGTGTCAATTGTATCTTGAAACATATGGATTATCTACCTATTTTACAGACTATAAAAAATTCTTTAATACCTGTAACCTAAAAATTTGATAAACTATACTTTTTTACAGATTTCAAAAGGAAGGAGGTATTCAATTCGACTGTATATTTTTTTACGTGTGTTATGTTACCTCGTAACTTTTCTCTGGATGAACTGATTTTGACGATTCTTTTTTTATCTGAAAGCTGGTGCTTCTCGTGTGATCAAAATTAGGTAATTGATCAAGATCTGACCAGTAGTTTATGAGTTATCTTTTATAATGCGTATTTAACTGACTTCGAATACATTGATTCGGTCGTATTGAAGTCGGTTGTACAAAATTTTTAATTTTATTACTTGTAGTTTTTAAAATTTAGTTAATTTTAAATTAAATTACAGCCTATATAAGTCCCACTGCTGGGCACAGGCCTTCTCTCATTTCTGAGAGGTTTTTAGGGCAAGGAAATGTCCGCCGCGCTGGCTGCCCCGATGCGTGTTGGCGAACTTCAAGTCTTCGAAATATTTGTTTCTTATTTCTCAGACATGCAGGTTTTTTCACGATGTCCTCCTTCACCGCCGAGTACTACGTGGTGAATCAGCACTTAAAATTGCAGTTAACAATTTCATTGATGCCGGAGGGGATCGAACCCGGGTTGCTCGCGTACTGTGAAATGAGCGCTTAGTCCTGAGCTACCATGGCTCGTAGTTTATTTGGCAAAATTTAAAGAAATGAATATGGCACGAATGAAAACGTTAATTACAATTAAAAATCGTTAAGGCTTAGCACGCACTGCGATTAAACGCGAGCGGTTTAGGAATAGCTGAAAACGCAAAAACGCATACCATCATGCACTGCGGCTGGAGTTTTGCTTAATTTTATTAGTCGCTTTGACATTTAAATTAAAAAATAGAAAACGTAAACAAGGGCGCTGCCATAAATACTGGGTACATTCACTAACAGAGACAAAGACATCTGAAAGGATACTTTTGCTAAATGTACAACGACGTGCGACAACATCCCGATAAAGTTTTTTAATTGCCACAGAATGTCGATTGGTACTTTTGATAAATTATTACTAGCTGTGGGCCAGTTTCTACAACATAAAGACACTGCATTTCGTTCGAAGATATCATCTGAAGAGTTGAATAAAAACCGAACGCGGTTAACCGCGTTCGGTTTTGCGTGCGCCGCCATACTATTACTATGGGACACATAAAAATCGCGCGTTTACAAACCGCAATGGAAATGTAGCAAGTTACGTTTTTAAAATCAGTCACTGAAAAAAGTCGCTAATGCGTGCGCTTGTATAGAAACCTATGTGTTACATTTATTTGCGGTTTCAGATGTGCGGTTAAACTTGTGCGTTTAATCGCAGTGCGTGCTAAGCCTTACTACGTGTAAGCGGTTATTAAACATAAGTAAGAGAAACCTACATGTCTAAAGAAATTAAAAAATAATATTGGAATTTTAAAAACGGATATGGTGAAGTCTGCCTATGAATATAAACATTGGAGCAGAGCGGCGCGGCAGTCTCTTCCTTGCCCTAAAACTCTTTAAGAGATACACTCACCATACGAAACTGCAACATAAAGCTATTATTTCACGTTGGTATTTTGTGAGACCGAGGTCCTTCCCCGGTCGAGCAAATTCCCTACCAAATATAAAAAATTAGTTGATAATTTTACCGTTCCTGTATATTCGACAGTATGCTATATGAATGTCTATTTCGGTTTAAAGAACTTTATTTCTCATTAAGGCAATTGTCACTTACATGAGAACAATAACATCTATATCCTATACCTTTAAACGAGCAATTCTTGTATATATATATATATATATATATATATAATCGGAATCGGCTCCAACGATTTTCATAAAATTTTGTGTGTAGGGAGTTTCGGGGGCAATAAATCGATCTAGCAGGATTTATTTTTAGAAAATGTCTTTTTGTCTGTGTTTTTAGGCAATGAAAAACTGCTACAATATCGTTAGAATAAGAAGGTAAATTTTGACAGTTTATGAATGATTACAAATAGCTTAATTGGTATATTGGGCCGTCACAAAATCGTAATACCATGGTTCGAGCCCAGTCCGTCCGACCGACTTTTTTTAATTTTTTTATCAAGTTCCTTTCTTTTTTGAGAAAATCTATTTTTTCGAGCCCTTTTTTTAGTATTTTTAAAATCACGAAAATTTAAATTAAACTAATTGCACTCATGATTTTTTATTCAAATAACCAATTCAGTTTTTTCTATTATGTCCCTAAGATCAAAAAATATTATTCGTATTTCATCAGTATGTAATTTGTATCTAAATATAATTTCCAAAACACACGGATTAAAAAAAACCGAGCGACAAATACCGAGCAAAGCTCGGTCAACCGGGTACTTATAATTATAGTGCGTGTTGGTAGTAAAAAAAAATTACATCAGTCGATCGTTAACCAAGAAGCGAGTTCATTGTGTTCCTATCAACTATAAGGCAGTGGTCCAAGTATAATTCTAATGCATAGTTTCATCATTATAAATATATTAAAATAATCTTTTATTTTATCAATAATAATATATTGACTGCCGTTACTGCATGGGTTAGAAACCCGGACCGGAACAAAAATCAGTTACTGAGTTTTTCTGTCAAGAAATACTGAATGGCAGCCTGGTGTCAGGAAGTTGGTAGTGTTTCACCCCCGTGACTATAAAGGTTGTTATTATATATTATTATACGTGGTAGAGGCATGCTGCAGTTATATCAGTAGTATATAGTTGTTGCGCGAACGGGTCGGCTCTACCGGGGAAGGACCACGCTCTCACAGAACACCAGCGTAAAATAGTAGCTTAATACTGTTGTGTTTTGTATGGTGGGAGTAGGGATCCGGAGACCCTTTTTTTAGTGGAAACGAGGCCTTCCACCTGAGTCCTCACGGGTGATAAACGAACGATTACGAATCAAAATGCAGTAGGCATTTTGATTCGATAATCGAGGGTAAATGTAGATGTCTACGTACCACAGCCTCCACTTACTATCAGGTGGACTGTGTGCTGGATTGTCACCGTTATTCTATAAAAAAAAAACAGTACAAAAGAGTTTGTTTCAAGTTTATACAAACAAAATACGAAGAAATATTTTCCACGCCCTATTATTATTACGTGAGTTGAACTATTGCGCAAAATATGAAGTAATGTTTAGAAAACGAATAAAAATAAATGGGCACAGTTGTAAATTTTATAATAGTGCGTTTATAAAACAAACTACCTACATACGGTGCGTTGGTTGTATTGTATATTATCTCATGGTATTGTTAGATGATTTGTTTCGTCACATACGTATAACATTCAGACCGATACCTACCTAGAGGAAGTCATAAACGAAGTCCTAACGCCACATAAAAATATTAGTAGTATTGCGTTTCAAATGTATGTCGCTGCACTTGTGCGGCTAGATGAAAAGCTTATAAATACGAGTATAATAACAACGACTACTCGAAAACCAACAACTTTGTGTATTTGCACCAACGTTGGCAAGATCAAACGTAGGAGTGAAGTTCTCTCATAAACTCATAATGTACTAGCCATTCGCACCGGCTTCGCCTGGGTGGCGTTATAAATTCTCGCCTTTTCTCTGCTATAATAGGTATGTAATATGTATGTATTATATATATATATATATATACATATTGGAGCCGTGGTAGCTCAGATGATTAATGTTCGCTGTAAATATAACAGAACGCGAGTAACCCGGGTTCCCACCAATGAAATTGTTGCTGTGTTGTGAAAATGTGCTGATTTACCATGTGCTCGGCGGCGAAGAAAAACATCGTGAGGAAACCTGCATGTCTGAGGAATAAGAAAAAAAATTTACAAGACATGTGAAGTTCGCTAACACGCATTAGGGCAGCGCGGCGGACACTTCTTTGGCCTAAAACTAAAACCCTCTCAGAAATGAGGAGAGGCCTGTGCCCAGCGGTGGGACGTATATAGGCTCTAACTTTAGTTTTTACTTTTACGTTATATATATAAACCTTCCACTTGAATCACTCTGTCTCTCATGAAAACTGCATTAAAATCCGCTAAGCGTACAGACGGCGGGGAGCGTCTTTGTTTTAATATGTCTGTTAGAAATATATTTAAGAGTAAGAGCTTTGTCCAGCAGTAGATGAAATGAAGAGAAAATGAACACTTGAAAACCACATATCGTGTCCAACCTTTCTGATCTCTGATCATTATCTGCCTGCCAGCGTGACGATTATGGCATTTCGACCTAATAAGGACAAAAATCCTCAAATCGACCCAATAAGGACAAAATCCTCAAATTATCCCAATAACATTCCACAGGTGGAAATGGGCTCCTCCCATTTTCACCTGTGAAATATTACGGGTCGATTAAAAAGACGGTGAATTAATGTAGTAATAATTGTTTTAATTTTCAGACACTTGGTGAATAGAGCATTAAAGTCAGGTCCTTGGAGTCAGTCAGCGCGGCAAGGCCGTGGAGTAAGGACTTTAGACCCTGCCATAATGAGAAGGGCTTTGTTAGAGGCTCATGATGGCTACGCTGAAGGAACAATAAAATTTCAAAGTGGGAATCGAACCGGTAAGAGATTTCACCTCTTTAAAGACTATGTAACAAGTTTTAAGTGTGTGTTAAGATGACTAGTCTCTATTGACATCGTGATAGCACTGCGGGGATGCTAAGGGTAAAGCGATGGAGGGGCCCCGGTGATGCTGATGGTGAGCACCGTGGGGTTGGAGGACATTATATTATAAAACGAGAGTTGATTTTGAGTGGATTTTTTATGAGCTTTATAGATATTAATTGTTGTTACTCATAATAAGCCAGTAGTACTTGACAAAAATACCTCATCAATGAATTCGGAAAGCTTTTCATCTTTTACCGGTCGCTAGTTAAAAAGTTTACTTAAAATTAGTAAATAAGTATTTATCAATTTGATAAATGTCAGAAAAAAGCAATTAATGTGTTCTTCAATTTAATTCAAATAAACTTCGTTCATTTATTGTACCCTATTTTTACTTACGAAATAAAAAGTTTCTCTGTAGTCGAGTATTGAGAAAATTGAGCTTCTTTATTGCTCTGAGGAAAACAAGTGAAAATTGTCAGATTTTTAACATAATATTTGTGTCTAAGCATAGTATTTTTAAAACAAAATATACCCTTAGAGAATAATATGTAATATCGTCAGATTTAGGTTTTCGGGTACCAAAACCACTTCGAACATAACATACGTAAAGAGAAAGTTTGTTTGAATTTTAAATCTAGGACAAAATGATAGCAATAATGTGACAAAGAACATAATAATATTTTCCAAAGGCACTAAAGATAATGGTGAGAATTGCCTGAATAATGATTAGACATGAAGTACATAATGTCGGAATGGAAAAGGGCGACGCACAGGCCACTTTTTACACCTATTTCGAGCTACTTTCGATAATTCCAAAACTATAGACCTACCCAAGCTATACCAAGTTATACCCAAGCTACACGACACAAAGAAAATTTCCATAAAGTAGATATAAAATGTTTAAGTGAAATTATAGGTCATACAGTTATTTATTCGCGCCACGTATTGGTCAATGAATCACACCAGCTTTCATTTTAGAATGTCGTTACTACCAGAGTTGTTTTCAATTATTTTTACTAGTATTAAACTAGATTGCTTTTTGTCTGCGTTGTTATTCAAAAGCAAATATTCACTAAATAGTCGCTTATCTGTGTGTGTCTAAGTAAAAACGTAACAGCCTATATACGTCACAACGCAGGATACAGAGGCCTCCCTTCATTTATGACAGGTTTTTTGTAGCAGGAAATAGACAAGCAAGGCGCCATTTCCTCGGAATTTTGGCAGCAGAAATAATTAAGAGGGTGGTAGAGTAGGTGGAGGTGGTAGAGTCCTACCCATTAGTACAGTCCTCGGTAACAGTACGGTCGGTACGGGTACAATTAATTTCATGGTTCAAGATCAACTCGAGTTTCGATCCACTATTTCAATTTTAAGCACGATTTTAATTTAACTTAGCACATGCGGTCAAGGAATAGTCGTGATGAATTTTGTGTCTCAAAAGAACTGCCCCTCAACCCTCACCCTCATTCCTCCATATTCGCAAGTTAAAAATATAAAAAGTATTTTATAGTCCGTTTATTTTATGAAAATTAATGAAACAGTTTACTGTATAATTAATATATTTTTATAGTCATCCCCATCCTTGGAAAATGTATGAGTGTTCTAAGTGTTAGTAATTTCTAAGTTATGAAAATTAATGAAACAGTTTATTGTAAACTGATATATTTCTTTATAGTCATCCCCATCCTTGGAAAATGTTTGAGCGTTCTAAATGTTCGTAAGTTCTAAGTTATGAAAATTAATGAAACAGTTTATTGTATAACTAATCTGTGTTTCGGGTGCTGGAAAGCACCCGAAACATCGGGTATTAAAATTAATATAAATAAAACGCGATAAAATCCGTAAAAGTAGTTTTAATCAATGTATAGTGTTCGCGTAAATATAAGAAATCATAATCTATTTCTTTATAGTCATCCCCATCCTTGGAAAATGTGTGAGCGTTCTAAGTGTTAGTAAGTACTAAGTTATAAAAATTAGTGAAAAAGTTTATTGTTTAACTAATCTATTTCTTTATAGTTATCCCCATCCTTGGAAAATGTGTGAGCGTTCTGTGTTAGTAAGTTCTAAGTTATGAAAATTAAAGAAACAGTTTATTGTATGACTAATATATTTTTATAGTCTTCATCCTTGGAAAATGTGCGAGCGTTCTAAGTGCTGATTTTTTTTCATTATTTTCATTAAATTCTACGTATCAACGTGTGCGATGTTCCCTGACCAGCCCCACCCCCTACACTCCTTGCTACGTTACTGATGTCCAAGTCTTTATTCAAAATACTTTGTAAACATCTTAAATCCGGCAAAATGCATAGGGATAGTAGCGCAGCGGACACTTTACTAGTTCAAGAATCCTCTCATAAATGAGATATCTTTCCTTAGTATAAAAGTAAAGTATGTAAGTTACAGCCTATATACGTCCCACTGATGGGCACAGGCCTCCCCTCATTTCTGAGACGGTTTTAGGGCAAGGAAGTGTCCGCCGCGCTGCCCTAATGCGAGTTAGCGAACTTCACATGTCTTCGAATTTTTTTTTTGTTATTGCTCAGAAATGCAGGTCTCCTCACGATGTTTTCCTTCACCGACGAGCACGTGGTTAATCAGCACTTAAAATTGCAATTAACAATTTCATTGGTGCCGGCGGAGATCGAACCCAGGTTTCTCGCGTTCTGTTATATAGCTACCAGCTCCTTTGCTTAGTATAGTATAAACTGACTTTGCTTACTATAAACTGATACTAATTCAAATAGGATAAGCTGTATATCACATTGAATAGTACAAGTTCCTTCGGCATGAATGCATTGCACTGTTTTTATACAAGTATAGAGGACAAGAAGCACAGTGAACAACCAATGACTATTTTACAGTCATATTCTGTGATTCCGTGAGAGCATGAACCTTCCCTGGCCGGACCCATTCATGCTGCAACCAAAGTATATATAGCTGCAGCAGGCACATTCGCATAGTTTAGTTTAGTTTAGTTACTCATAAGTTGCTCTCGAATAATATCTCGAAGAATAGACTAACTGTCTAGTTTATTTCAACGAACTTTCATTAATGTTTACCGTGTAGTTGTGGTGCAAGAATATCCACTATCCCATATCCCGTGGGTGTAGAGGCGATAGAGGGAGACAAATCAGGAGATGGACGACTAAAAATAAAAATAAACTGTTTTTGACAAGCGTGGTAAATATCATTCGGCAATCTATGGGGGCGGCCTATGTTCAGCAGTGGACTTTAATAGGCTGTAACGGTAACGGAAACGTTATATGTCACGTTTGATTTTTTACACATTTTTTTTCTCTAATGGTTCGTGTTCAACATCAAGCGTTTTCGCCTATCGATCACGAAGTACTCCACATATTGAGTGTACTCCAGGTTACAGCGGCCAGTCCCAATTGGAGCCATCTATGTAGAATTGGATTGATAGTGCCGGTACGTACGTAGCACAGGTGCACGCTCTATTTCCTCACCATCGTAGTTCTATGGGATGGTAATCTCTCACGATCGGAGAGAGATCAAGCACAGGACTAACAACTTTTACGTGCTTTCCAGGCACGGGGATGAAGCAACTCCGGGCTGCTACTGATAATTTCTTGACAGAAAAACCCATTACCTGATTTTGGGCCCGACGCGGGAATCGAACTCAGAACCTCATGATCATCAATCGCGTTTGCAATCACTAGACGAAAAAGCAGTCATTCCACATATTATGCACGTAAATATAACAATTATTCTGAGTGATTTAATGTTTAAAAAAAATTAAAAATATTTTACGATTTTTCAGCACGGGCGAGCAACCTACCAGGGCTGTCACCTGGTAACCCTAACGCATGTGGAGGCGCCCGTCTTTGCCGGACGCGGTACAACACTACAGCACCGATGTACGGTGTCTCGCTGACGTCTGGGCAGCCCGTCACCATCGTGCAAAAATTCCCTGACCTGTTGCAGCAGGTCGTATTCGAAGTGTGCGAGTAAGTGTTTTTTTTTTCTAAACATAAATACATCTTGTAAAAATGCACGGTCTAAATAATCTTTAGAACTTTTAAGCTGGCGAAAAGTAAGAGTGACAAACCGAGCTAATAGTAAATTTCCTTAGCCTTAGATCGCCAGCAAAGACTAAAAATGTTTGCTTCGCGGTTCTTGTACGCAAACCTACGTACCCTATTTATTAGAATTTACATGGAATACCTAAAAAAAGGGTTTCCGGTTGTCCTCCAGACCGAATTTCGGTCACGGCGCGGCGGGTTGCCTCAACGGAGGCTAGCCATCGGCGCAGGACAGGATTATAGTGCCCAAGTGTATGCGCAAGCACAGGTGCACTCTCTATTCCCTCACTCTCGTAATCCGATGGGACGGTATAAATCCTCGACGACTGGATAGAGATCAGGCGTCAACGGCTTTACGTGCTCTCCGAGGCACGGGAGTGAGACGTCCCCGACTTCCTGACTCCGGGCAGCTACCGAGAATTTCTTTACTTTTTTGGCCCGACCTGGAATTCGAACCCATGATCTCATGATCAGCAGTCGCACTACTACAACTAATAGGCTAACGTACAGTCATAACATATTAACAGCGCGAGCATATGAGCGTGGAAACACAACTGTAGCATTATTTACTTAGAATTAGCTATAGATCTCAGTGAAATGCAGTGCAGTCTGAGAACTCATTTCTAACTTACACGAAAATGTGCAAATTCAAATTAATAGACAGTCATCATGCGATGTTTTAAATAATTGTTTCTTTTTTTAATTTCAGAACAAGTGAATGCTCCGTAATTCGCGGTTCTTGTACGCAAACCTACGTACCCTATTTATTTCTAGTGCTGCCCCTCGGACCGGTGACGCTTACCGGTCAGGATTACGTTTTGGTCGAGTCCGGGTGCGTTTGCAAACCGGACCCCATCTCTTAGACATCAGTTTTTGTTTAGGTTTTAATTCCTGACGGATCGGTTCGGGGCTTTCATGTACTGTGTTAGAAAGTATGTATGTACTTCATTAGGGAAATAAAAATAAAAATAGCAAAATATATAGCAGCAGGCCTATTTAAATCAAGAGGCTTTGGCTATGAAATTGTTTAAATTATGGTTCTGCAACCAAATCTTAATTCATTGAAATAAAAATGAAATATGTTATTGAATGCAGTTTTAAAATATACATCTATTTATTAATGATTGTTTCAATCAAATGTATTAAATTTCATATATTTTTAGTATTTGTGGCTAACAGTAAAAATCTGTTATATATCAAGGGACCATATTGCATTTATTAACTGTAAAATCGCCGAAAATCTTCACACAGCGATTTGTCGGCCATTTTATAGTGTGTTTTTTACTTTGTAAATCTTTATAGACTGAATTTATTAATGTTAATTTATTATTAGATACTTATTTATTTGTGAGCACCGGTATGATGCGGTGTGTATATTTATATAAATATATTCTTATTTATTGTTCACAAATGTATTGAAAATATATTGAACAACGAATGTATCAAACATTTAAAATGAACTAAGTTTTGACTTTTATTTTCCTTGCCAAAAAGTAAACCATCACTACGTTCTATTCTAAATATAAATATTTTCATATTAAATAAAACACTTTTCATCTTCATTTATTTATTCCGTACTTGTTTGATCTAGCAAGTTGTACAAAATAAAAAGCTGGACGTTTACTGATAAATTTGAAAACGTGTCACTTATTTAATTTTTTTTAAATGATTTAAACGATTTCTTTGTGAGAGTCTAGGGGGAATTCAATAAAAATAATAAATTCACTAATATCAATTTAATTCCTCTCTCTCCTTTCCACCATCGGACAACCAGGTGGCCGGCGGATTTTCAGCCATTTTATTTTTGAAATTCCATTTCCATGCATTAGTACCAAACGGTTTGCTTCATCTTTTGTTATGCGTACAGCAAGGAAGTGGAATAATTTGCTTCCGTCCGAATATAATCTAGGCGTCTTCAAGAGTGAATAGGCTTTTGTTACGATAAGACGCTACGTCACCACTTGCCACCAGGTAGGATTTTATAATAAGCAAAAAAAAAAAGATTCATGTTATGGAACTTTTACAACAAAAATCAAGAAAAGGTAAAAATTTCTCTGAAGGCACGGATCTGTACCTCGAATTTTAATAAAAATCACAATAATACAAATTTCAATACAAAATTCATATTTACAAATGAAAACTGTCGTCAATAGTTATAAGTATCTTACACCATAGATTTTTAAATTTTTTATGACTCAATTCTTAAATCTTCTAGCCTACAGACTACAACAGGATACGTTCTACTTACGTGCTATTTAATAATATGTAATAATAATGTCTTTAATTAAATATAATTAGAAACGTCATTTATAAACAAATTTGTGAATAATAGGTACTTAGAAGAAATTGAGGCGATTGTAAGCTTGTAAAAATTGCATTGCAACTCATTTTTTATCCTTTCATTCTCCGAATTTTTTTAATTTACCAAAGTTCCGTTCAGAATCTTTAGTACATGGCACACAAGATTTTTTATTTTAAAATTACTGTTTAGAGAATAAAAATCCTGTATAGCTTTTTTAACTTGGACATTTTATGAGTTTTTGTTAAAAACATTTTTGGCTTATAAGAAATTAGTGAAATAGAGTTTTACTGGAATTTGACCGCCAGTGAACCTTGGAAGTGGATTTTAATTTATTAAGTGTTGCATGAACAATTAATGAAAACGATATAACAGGTGTTTCTATGGTGATAATAACCTAAAGATATTTTGTTAATCATTGCAACATTGCAAATTGGGGTGCTGTCGATAAAATCTCCCGAGAATCTTACCAAAATATTATCTGTAATTTATTATAATATACTATCTGGCCAGACAGACGTTGTTCTGCCTTTTTTCAACGATCCTTTGTTCTATAAAAAATCCTTAAATTCACTATAAAAATATTGGGATCACTTATCGGAATAAAAACTGTAGTGTTTCTTATTCAAGTTGGAGCAAAATATTTAAAAAATTTCATTGCGCGTTTTCGGCGACTAGCGTGAACGAACATCGTGACATGGGATTTTTATATATTAAGATTACGGCATTTATAGTATTCTCCGGCAAAAACCTTGTAGCCATTATTATAGTAAATTAAATTTTGAGCAAAAAGTAAAATGTATCATAAATTAGACTAGTGACAGAGGATCGCATTTATTTCATCTTCCTGTCCAAGATTTAAAAAAAATAAGTTATTGAAGACATTATTATTACACATCTAAAAAAATTAAATTCTATTGCTCATAACGCTGGTAATACTGTGGAGCTTGTTGGTGAGGTTGCTGCTGAGGTTGGTGCTGAAGTTGCTGCTGAGGTTGATATTGTTGTTGGCCGTGAGAGATCTGGGGTTGCAGAGTCTGTGGCTTTGGTGTCGGTATTTTCACCACAATGTCGGTCGGTTGTCGGGAAACCTGCGAATCAAAATGACGTTAATTTAATGCTGGATAACATAATGATTTTTGATAAAATAAACGGGGTAAGCGAGCACACAGTCCACCTGATGGTAAGTTGATGCTGTGGCCCATAGACATCCATACTTATCCTCTATTTAGAACCAAAATACAGATGAATTGTCACCCCTGAGAACTAAGATACAATGCCTCGTTTTCAGTCAAAGGGGTATTCGTTTCTCTACACTCACCATACGAAATTCATTTGCATTAAGCTGCAAGTTACGCTGGTATTCGTTTAAGCGGAAACAAAACTATAAATCTTTAATAAATATATATTAAAGTGGTATTTGCTGTGTGGCGAAGGTGAGGTACAAACCGAAGACCCGCGACGTAGCAGTCGGTCCTGCCCACACAGTCATTCATTTCATATTATTATTACAGGCCTTCACAGGGTCACTGCTGAACGTTGACCTCCTCTAACGAATGGTACGAAACGTTTTGGAACCATCTGCATCCATCGACTACTCTTGTCAGGTCGTCATTCCATCTAGTAGAGAACCGCCCTGCACCTCGCTTACCGGAATGACGTTGCCACTCATGAACTTATCGAGCTATAAGGCTGAATGTCACTGTTATTTACAAAAACTCAGAAGTATTAGTAATTGTCCATCGACAATAAAGTGGTCAACATTATAATATTGTCCTTCAGACCGAATTGCGGTCACGGCAGCTAGTTTCAACAGAGACTAAGCCATCTCCGCAGTACAGGATTATAGTTGCCCAAGTGTCTGCACAAGAACACTCACTGCTCTTTATTCCTTCAGCAGAAATTCAACACGACCAGAGAGAGATAGGAACTATGGCTTTAGGTGCTTTCCGAGGTATGAGAGTGAAACTGCCTGAATCTGAACTGCTGAATTTCTTAACAGAAAAATCCAATAACTGACTTTGGCCTGACCCCGGATTCCAACCCAGGACCTCAAGATCAGTAACCGCATTTACGACTACTAGGCCAATGAGGCATTCAAGCTCAACATTAATTAAGACGGCTCCGTAGTGCAGGGTCTGTTTAGCTGCGATGCTGCAGAGCCGCAGATTTCGAATTCTTGTACCATGTTATATTTATCTATCTTTTTTTCGTCGACTGCCCCGCTGGTTTAGTGTTTAGAGTAGTGAGACTGCTGATCAGGAGGCCCCGGGTTCGAATCCCAGGTCGGGTCAAAAAACCAATTATTGAGTTATTCCTATTCAAGAAATTCTCAGTAGCTGCCCGGAGTCAGGAAGTTGGCGGTGTCTCACCCTCGTCCCGCAGAAAGCACGTAAATCCGTTGCTCCTGCGCCTGATCTCTCTCTGGTCGTGTCGGTTTACCGTCCCATCGGATTACTTGGGCACTATAATCCTGTCATGCGCCGATGGCTAGTCTCCGTTGAGGCAGGCCGCCGTGATCGAAATTCGATCTAGAGGACATTATTTATCTATGGAAAACGCCCCCACAATATAGGATATCAATCTAGTGTGGAGATTACTTTTTAAAATTAAAATTAAAATTCTTTCCTTGATAAGCTACGTACCTCAGCCTTAAAGCCTTCTTTAGGGTCAGCAGTGTAGGTGACTGTCCTTATAAAACCGTCGCTGTCGACAACAGAGTAAGAGCCCTTGATGACGTCACCGTCCCTCTGCTCTTTGCGGTTTTGGTAGTTGGTGTACTGGTCATCGTTCACGTCGAAGCCGAATTGGTAAGATGGGTTAGGCTGTGGAAACATCGGACTATAAGTTTCACAGTTTTTTGCAGTTAGCTTAGCTAAGCCCGATGCTATTCGTTATAAAATTCAGCTTCGATGAAATTTTTATTAATTTTGTGATTTTGATTAACACAAGTACAATGTACGTTGTACATGCTATACTTATATTTGAATTTATTGATTATAAAATCACGGTCATCACGGTATATCAGTATATAATGAAATTGTAATTTCTTTTATAAAAGTGTGAGTGATTAAACGAGCACACAGTCCACCTGATGGTTAGTGGATGCTGTGGCCCGTAGACATCTACATCTATCCTCGATTTAGAATCAAAATTAAGACTGGCCACCGTGACCGATATTCGGTGGTTAAATTATTATTATATGCCATAGTTGCCACGCGAGTGGGTTATTTATTGCATTTTATTATTATTTTGTGCTGTTATAAATCGCCTGCTACGATAGCCACGGGATCTTAAGAGGTATAGTTGGTTCTTTTACACAGACACAACACGCCTTGCTAAGTTATCCGTTTCTGAAATATTTTAATTTTTAAGATCACTTCTTTCTCTAATACTGAATTATAAGAGGTTCATTTAGGAAAACAACCCGCTAATGTTTGGTAACATCTTTATACATATAGTATTACGGATAGCTAATTATTTCAATTGAGGCTGAACGAAATTTATAAAACGGTATTATGTAGGCGATTACATACGGGTTCAATTACCGTTCCGTTAGCAGAACAGGAGTAATTGAGCCGATACTAAAGAGAAAGTAGTCTTAAGACAACAAAGTCACTAGCAAATTAATCTGTACATTTCATTTATAACACAACGTTGAATATAGGCCGCTAAATCGCTAACATAAATAATACAAGACTGCAAGTTTCGTAGTGAAAGTTATCGTGAACCCGCTTCGGTAAGTAATCAAACTGTAGGCCATTTACAATTCGATATACCTGTATGTATACTTGCATATAAGGCACTAGCGACCGGGCTTCGCCCGAGTGTGTAAATAGACTTTAAAGCGAAAAGATAAATTCTCTTTATTTACCACCCTGAGGAAATTTGGAAAAATCCTTTATTACTTGTCTACATTAAATATAGGGAAACTCTGTGCAAAACTTCAATTTTTTTAAATCCAAGGATTTAAGCTGGGCGTTGATGAGTCAGCGAGAGGTTACAGTGAATGAATGAGTGAATCGGGACTTGTTTTTTTATGTAGAAGATTGCCGTTTATAATATATCGAAATTTAAATATTTTAAAAAATATCAACAGTTTTAGTTTGAACTGATCAGTTGGAATCATCAGTAGAACTGACCGTGTGTGGCGTTCATAAGTTACACATATGTATATTGCATTATATAATGCATAATGCATTAAATGAAAGTGGTCCCATGTTAGTATTGAATCCGAGCATACATACATACCTACATATATACGTACATGTGCACAAACGGACATCCTCTTAAAACCATACTATTCGACTCTAAAGATCTTGAAACGTGGAGATACGTTAAAATTTCCAATTTGCAAAATCGGACCCATTATAATAACTTCCCACTGGGAAATTAAAAACGCTTAAATACAGCTTCATTAGGCTTTAAATAGAATTCGATTAGAACAACAAAAGAACATTTTGTTATATAAATGAAACCACAAGAGAAAAGAGGATTTTGAGATTGAATTTTGAAATTTTGTACTTAAACAGGAAAAGAGAGGCCCAGATCTGTAGGAATACTTACATCATAATCTTCGGGAGTGCGCTGGGGAGCCTCTTGTGCATATTGCTGGCGGTATTGCTGCTGGGGCTGGGGTTGAGGCTGCGGCTGGTACTGAGGACGGGGTTGGTATTGGTTTTCGGCTTGCACTTGGTACGGCTGTTGAAAAAAAAACACAGTATTTTGAGAAAAGTATTTAAGTAAGTACATTATCTTTACATTAAAATATAAGGGACGTAGAGGTATTATAGTCAACTTAAGCTTTGCTGCCCTAAAAAACCAAAACGAGGAAGAGGACAGAGACAAAAACACCAAGTCGTATACTATTACTAATATATTAAGAAAAAATAACAAGCAAGCTCTGGAAATAATTAGGAACACTTCGAAAAATCAGCCTAAAAAGAACTAACTACACTACACCAAGAACTAACTACAATACCACAGAATAAATAATAGTACTACGTAACAATACTAAATTCGACTAAAACATTTACTATAATGTCAACCGCCAAAATGGCGTCGATGAAACAGCGCCCTTTTGACCTTTAATATTTTATTGACTATGAAGAGCTATCGTATCGATCTATGCAAACAAGGCTGTAGTTTTTGAGTTATAAGCAAGTGATCATATTAACCGGATGACCATATTACCGTCACATACTATAGTCGTACATGCCGAGTTAACATATATACGTAATATGTCCATGACTTTCAATTCATAAATCACTGGGTACCGATCAAACAGATCACACTTCAACACTGTAGTCCGGAAATTGAGTCTGGTATTACTGTGTGTGTGTAGTTTTTGACGGGGTAATCCTTCAAAAACACAGTGTAAATTCCCGCTATTAGAGTATTTGCTGAATACTGCGTGGCCTAAGGTCAGAGTTCCTGATTATTACGTCTCGGTTCCCGTGTTCGAATAACAATTTTGTGCAAAAACATAAATCGTTAGTTTAGCTTGGTTTTGCTGTCTATGACTGTCTGAAATTGCATCCAAGTCCAACTCCAATCTTATCGTATAAGTTATAATATCTTTTGTAGTGTTTTATAATACGAAAGTGACTTAAAGTAATTGGTTCTCGCAGCCGTATAACACCCTTTAAAACCAACATTTAAAATTGGAATAATAATAAAAATATCCTCCAGACAGAATTTGGAGACTAGCCTCAACGGAGACTAGCCATCGGCGCAGGTCAGGTTATAGTGCCCAAGTGTATGCTCGCACAGGTGCACTCTGTATTCCCTCACTCTCATAGTCCGAAGAGACGGTAAACAGACACGACTGGAGAGAGATCAGGCTGCGGGACCAACGGTTTTAAGTGCTTTCTAAGGCACCAGGGGTGGGGGGGGGGAGACACCGCCAACTTCCTGACTCCGGGCATATACTGAGAATTTTTTATTAGAAAACTCAATTTGATATTTTTTGCCCGACCCGGGATTCGAACCTGGGACTTTACGATCAGCAGTCGCCCTACTACAACCATTAGACCAACGAGGCAGTCAATTGGAAGAATACAAATGCATTGTCATTGTAACGTGGTGGTTTCTAAAAGGTGGACTGGCTATCTGGTACTGATTTGCTATTTACAATACAATACAATACCTACTGTTTATAATTGTACATGAGGGAAAAATCATCATACTAAAATAAATAAATATCGAGAGAAAGCAAAAGACAGTTTTATAATGGGTACGGAAGGGAAAAGAATAAAGAAAGAGAAAAATAGATAGAGGGAAGGAGATAGAGATAGAGATTAGAGGCAGATATAGTTCCTTATCCTGTTCTTAAAGAATCTGTGCACACTTAATGTACAAATGTAAAGAGTTCAAAAGGCATTTTTTTAATCAGATACCTTAAGGACGCACTTACGGGTAGGTACACTTAAATATTATCTAAAAACGGTGAGCGTAAAATATGCTTTCGGTGATTGATAACTTTGTCTGGCTTTAATGACACTATCGTTGTCTTAGACCCCTCAATGCTTAACACAGGAGAAGTCATTTGTAAACTCTACATTGAGCATTAAATTGTGCTCATTTAATTTAAGAAGTTGTTTGTATGTTAACCGTTTATTAGAGTATTTAACTGTTTATTAGTATTAACTCAATGATACATAATATATATAATGAAAATAATAATATATATGTAAATATAAAGAGTATAATATTGCGTTTGGCTGGATTGTGTGTTCAAATCCCGCACAGAACAAAAACCTATTTGAACGGTCTACAAAATAAAATATTTTGTATGTGTGGGTGAGTAATCTAAAAAATAATTACAATTCTTGCTGGAACTTGTGCTGGTCCACCGCCGAGATGTGCTGGGCGTGCGATGATCTGAGTCTGAGCTTGCCCTGGCTGTTGGGCGCCAATGTACTCCCTTAATAGATGTGGAGGGATGCCTTGATCCTGCTGGAAAACAAAAGCACGAGAATTAAATAAGAAGTAACTACTAACTGAAATACCTACACCAAATTATTAATAGTTGCCTTTATACATATTTCCTGAGTGGTAAAAGGCTATTTTCCTACTTAGGTGTCTATCTGAGTTGGTCTTTACCTGTTTATGCCGTAGAGGAACAGCGTACGACTGCTTTATTTCGGTTTGAAGGGTAAAAAGTGTAAGCGGGGATTAGATTAATTGAATTTTTCAACCGTAAATGCTAAAAAAACTATTAAAAGAATGAGAATGACACAATATCGCAACATTAAATCACGTGTTTGTGATTTCTAAGTTACTTTTCATGCATAATGTCCGTTTTATTAAACAGCTTGTTGATACAATATAGGGCATTGATTGGATTCCCTTTGCCGCCATCAGATGTTGTTGTTGTTAATATGATTCTTCTGTAGGTACGTGTGTTTGTCATTGAAATCCTCCTACAGAGGTGGACTAATTTGACGAATTTTTTGTGCGTATCTAAGTAAATTCCTGGATGGTATAGATTCACAATTGAACATGGTAGGTGGTGGTGTTGTCGAGATTCAGAAATCACCCGTGAGTAACTGGGGCGGGCTGTTAACAATAACTAAAGCGATATGTAATGAATTCATTATAACTATTTTGTATTGCAAGGTTACGAATGTGAAACACGTTTGATATTCAAAATTTGTTAAGTTATCAAAAACTCTACTTAGTTAACCCTGCAGTATATTTTGTTATCTATCAGAAGCCATGAGTTCTTTCCGAGTTTTCACATAGTCGACTCTTGCGACATCCACGAGACGAAATGTATTGATAGATTTTCTTAAGCTGCCACTCATGGCTAAGTCTTGTAATAGTGTATTAATTAATTTTTATGAACTTTAATAATTTATGCATTGGTTTAATAATTATATTACGTTGTAATGAACATTATTACAATTCATCGAACTCGAACGGTGACTAGAAAATTCACAGACACTCTATTTATTAATTTATATTAGGAAATCATCAGTCATTCAAGTCATCAACATTATCATCAACATCATCATCTTTTATAGCCCTAATCGTAGCCCTGATTCAGATGAAGCTGTAAAAGCCAAAAGGCTAATAGCACTTATATCTCAGAACATAGACTTAGGTAGAAAACAATATTTAAATCACCTACTTCCATTGTAAGATTGTAACCCTTACTTTATTAGCCGATAATAAAAAGGAGGAGGTTTACATTTCGATTCTGTCTTTTTTGTATGGCCGAGTCTGACGCAATATCAGAATGCATTTAGGTACTTAATAAAGGATAGATTTAGTTTTTGGGTCACAGCATCTACTTACCGCAAGGTGGGTTGTGTGCTTATCGCCCACTCTATATAATAAATCTTCACTAATTGTAAAATTTTTATGATTTCTTTTTCATGAAATGGGTTATAGTTTAGATGTTCTATATTGTATAAAATTAGACCTGCTCAAAGTTCAAAAACTTTACTAAGCCAAATTTGTATAAAAAGGGTTATTATAATATTAAGGAATTTATGTATAATAACCCTTGGGAATGAGGTGATCGCTACCAAGCTATTGCTAATTTGTTTTGTGTTGATTAATTGTGTAACATACATGATTGTAAGCTGTTATTTAAAAAAAAGTTCCCGCTGGGTTCCTTGCTGGTTCTTCCCAGGACAGAGGTTCTTTTCCGAACCAGTGGTAATTAAGAGAGTGACTTTCAATAAGTATTATTTATGATCTGTATTGAATAAAAAAGTTTTTGTTTTCACATAAGTTTGCAGAATTTCGAATTCTGAAGTCGGAACCAGAGTGGTAGAGAAAAATAAGCTGACTGTCTTCCTTATTGGTGTACGCTTAGTGCATAATTACAACGTTATTTTTATATATAATCGTATTTGTTTATAATATTTTGGAATAAAAATCTATAACTTTTCAACAAACCGAATTTCATGAGAACTAACAAAAGTTATGTAACTAATAACCTTCTTTTCACGTTTAAAATAACTTAAAACATTACTCATACCGTTTTTAATAAAACAAAAAGGTTTTTAGAAACACATCTATCTTAAAAAGAAATAAGGCCAAAGGTACGAGTATAAGTAAATCCAACCAATTATTGTTTCGCCAATAGGTACAGCTAGCTAGATGAGCTAGGTTGAACATTATTTCTAATTTCGTAGGACTATTCTGTTTTGACGTAATAATATTATTACGATTTCTGTGGTTTTGACCATAGAATTACATACATAATAGCGCAGCCCGAGTAGCCACTAAAATGTCACTAACACGTCAATTCACATGTATAAATGTCAACACGAGATGTGTTTTGACGTTACAATCGTTTCCAAATTTCGCATGCAAATTATTTAGAAAATGCCAAATTGCACGCTATTTACAAATAACTACGTATTAAAATATGTCTGTCAACACAGCGCATCGTGTTTGTTACAGTGATAATACGTAACTGCTTGTATTGTGCTTCCGGCGACGTCTATCCTCGTACAAAATAAGTTTGACAGCCATTCTATTGTGTATTATAGTATTCTATGGTTTTGACCAATTTTATGCACCTGAAAAGCTAAGCTAAGCACTTATCAGCATATATCACGTGTTGTTAAGAAGATATCGGAGCGGAATTCAGTTTATATAAATATATTCCCCTGTTTTCTCCCTGGATAATGTCACTAGAGCATATATTTTTACCGACCTCCAAAAGGAGGAGGTATTCAATTCGAATGTACGTTTTTTTATGTGTGTTACCTCAGAACTTTTCTCTGGGAGACCCGATTTTGATGATCCTTTTTTATCTGAAAGCTGATGCTTCTCGTGTGGTCCCATATAAATTTAATCAAGAATATTTGTTTAAAGAATTAATCTTTGTAATTCGTATTTAATTGACTTCGAATACATTAATTCGGTCGGTTTTTAACGTATGGTAGTGAAAGTTGGGTGTGGCAGAAGAAGCATGAGAGTAGAATCAACGCAGTAGAAATGCGGTCCTTAAGGAATATGTTAGGGCTGAATCTGAACGACAGGGTAAGAAATTGTGTAATAAGAGAAGAGTGTGGTTTGCAAGATGATGTTGTGACCAGGATTAAGAAAGGAATGCTTCGGTGGTTTGGTCATGTGGAAAGAATGAATGAGGAAAGAGTGACAAAGAAAATTTATGTTGCAGGAGTGACGTGGACAGAGTCGGAAAGGGACGTCCTAGGCGAAAATTTATCGACCAAATTGGCGATTTATTGAAAACGGGCCAAATTAGGAGTATCCTTAACCGACGAGCATGTATGCGTAGGTGTATGGATGTGAAGGAGGCGAGAGAGGTGTGTCAGGATCGTGCCAAATGGAAGTCTGTAGTCTCTGCCTACCCCTCTGGGTGACAGGCGTGAGTGTTTATGTATGTTTATGTATGTAATTCGGTCGTATTGAAGTCAGTTGTACATTTTTTTTTAATTTTACCACTTGTTTACGATACAACCTATATCTACCACTACCATGGAACCCTTTAAAATATTATACCCATTTGCGTAGGACAAGATAATAGCGCAAAAGTATTTGCGCAAACATAGTAAGTTTTTTACTATTGTAAAATCACCCTTAAGATCAATCTATAAATCTATGAAGTAGACTTATGTTTAGTAGTTTTATAGACTGTAATGGATACATGGATAAAATCAACGACAAACTAAATTAAAATGTGAATTCGACAATTATTTCGTTACGTTACGAATAACAGACTTAATCCAGCCGTCACGTCGGTAACTTGTTATCCAAACGTTACCGCACCACATAATACGAAAACCGTAACATGGCGCTTCTTAACCGGTTACGTCGCTCTCGTTCTGGCGTAATTCTGAAAACGTACCTAAAATACGGTCGTTGTTATGCAAAGTGTGTAATTTTTTCACTTTTAGCAGGTTTCCGCACGATTTTCTTTCTGCACCGCTGAGTACAATTTCCTGAGAGCAAATCGTTAACACGAGTTGGGATAGAGCTCAGTTTGCTAGGGTGTTATTATCGTTTTTGTTTCGCCTGCGTTTGACTGCTTCGTTGGTCTGGTGGTCTTAAGCGTAACTGCTGATCGATTGATCTCAGGTTCGAATCTTGTTTCTGGCTAAGTTAAGTTAGTGGGTTTTTTTTTGTCAAGAAATTCACAGTAGCATACCGAAGTCAGGAAGTTAGCAATGTTTCACACCCGTATCTTGGGAAACACGTCAAGCCATTGGTTCTGCGCCTGATCTCTCCGATTGTATCGGTCCGTCCCATCGGACTGTCGTAGTGAGAAAATTGAACTTGCAGACATACTCGTGCTTTATAATCCTGTTCTGCGCAGATGGCTAGTCTGCGTTGACACTGGCCATGATACCGTTATTCGATCTGCATCGAGACTTAGATTATTACTATCGGTATCTCTGAACTACCATGGCTCTACACATAAATATAAAACTAAATTTTTGCAGCTATTACATCTTTTTAGTAATTTGAACGATATCTTATAACTTCACACTCTGTATGTACAAGCATCATATTTGTCTATTGCCTATTGTAGAAGGTAGTCATGATTTCAACTTAGAGAGTTGACTACCTCTATGAAGTGAAAAGATTAACAACATAGAAGATTAAGGAGGTATCCTTCGTGACCACCTCCTTAAACTGCTGCCGTCTAAGATCATTATTTTTTCTGATAAGATGAATTTGTGTCGGATACGACGAGGAAAAGTGGCTTTAGGCTCAAATATTTTTTTTACATTTGTAAAAAAGGGAGCTAACATCCTGTAGATCTAAAAAATGTCAAATATCATAGACTATGTTATCTAGCAACGTCTTCTTAAAATTTTAAACTTCACCTCAACATTAGGATTTCCCCTTGTATCGTGGGGGCAGTTTACAAACATAAATTGCACAAGGACAAACATCCAGACCCGGAACAATTACTTGTAGGACATACTAATACTTGTTCCGAGCGGGATTCGAACTCGCGGCCCTTAGCATTGCGCCACTGCGCGCTGCCATAGAGGCGTAAAAACTGCGGTTACCAACTCGAGTGCGTGGCAACTGTGGCAAATATTTTCTATATGAAGCAATCTTTGGGTGAGGCCTGTGATGAGCAGTGGTGTTTTGATAGACTGTAGTGATAACACCTATCTATCTATTTATAATTAGAAGATTTGCCATATAGCATATCGTTTATCAATTTTTTAGTCAACTAGGATATTATTAAAAACTTATACATTCAATTTCTGTAATTTTCGCTCACAATCTAAATATTGCACTTCTCTAAGTCGCACAAGACATTAGAGAGGGCTAGAAAAATTTAAAAGTATTTTTTCTTGAACGACTTTATAAATGTTTTTAGGATGGTTGATCAAAAAAAAATTCATGCTGCAGCTATATTAATAGTATAGTTGTAGCGCAAATAGGTCGGCTAGACCGAGGAAAAACCACGTTCTCACAGAATACCAGCGAAAAATAGCAGCTTAACGCTATTGTGTTTCATATGGTGAGTGTAGAGAACCGGAGACCCTTTTTAATGGAAAAGAGGCCTTCCATCTTAGTCCTCACGGGTGACAACGCATCTGCATTTTGATCCGTGATCGAGGATTGATGTAGATATATATGCGTTTCAGCAACCACTTCTCACCAGGTGGACTATGTGCTCGTTTGTCACCCTTATCCTATAAAATCAAAATCTAACTCGTCAGGCTCTACAATAAAAAGTTGATTGGTTTTTCTTTTATCTTGCCATCAACAAACCATTAACAGCCGTTGCTGTCATGACATATCTGAATAATATCAACTCTTCTCTGGTGCGTGACATAGTGGAAACAAAATCCTCGGGCAAGACAAGATATTCTCTTGTTTTTATGGTGACTCGGTGTAGCGTTTTTAATTTCGACAATACTACTTTAAAGGCAAACAGCTTAAAAAAGTGAATGTAACGTATGTAAAATATTACTTTTAATTGTATTCAAATAAATTATTGTCTGTTGTGAACTCTTAAAGTCGCTACCAGTCTCTATTAAGAAATCTAGACCACTCGTTATGTAAGAACTAGAAATTATTATGCACAAGACGCAATGCAGTTGAAAGTCTGAAACTATCTGAACTTATTATCTGGCCATGTGCAGAATTTTCGTAATAAGAATGCCGAAAATTACTACGTGCTTGCAATTTTGAATTTTAACAGAAGTAAATAAGTGAGTTGCATACGACGAAAATATTTGCATTCGAATAAAATAGTTTACGTTTCTTTCAGGTTACTGATATTTACAGAGATATATATCTATTTTCATGGAGAGGGCTATGTTAGGAGTCTCTCTGTATGATAGACTTCGTAATGAGGTTATCCGCAGTAAAAGCAGAGTAATCGCTATAGCCCAAAAGATCAGTAAGCTGAAATGTTAATGTCTATGTCTCAAAGAACCGACAACTGATAGAAAGAAAAGGTTTTGAGTGGAAGCCTCGTACCGGTAAGTGAAGGGCGGTCTCTCATTTGGTGAATTGACGAGCTGGTGGTTAGAGACATAAGAGATCGATTGATGCAAGTAGCTCAGGACCAAGCTTTGTGATATTTCTTGGGGAGGCTTATGTTGAACAGTGGACATGAGATGGACTGTAATGATGATGATGATCCGTAAACTTTTATGGAAGATGTTTGAAGCCAGTACAATACTGAGTAAGATGTGTGGGGCGGGGTAAAGGAATCCGATATCCAATTTCGACCCGTTTGCGTTCTAAGACGTAATTATGAGAAGGCCAATAAAGACTACATTGCTTCCGATCCAGTGAATCACCTTGTATGTTAGGCAGATAATATCCAGACTGGTGACAGAATAGAGCGTCAAGTTACGAGATATATGGTACTGCTATCACCAATAGCGTGCCAAAAAAGGGAATTCTTTCATACTATTGGAGAGGTTTGTGTCCTGCAGTACTCTGTTATGGGCAGATAAAAAAATGACGAAGAGGAAACAGCTCAGCCGTGGAAGCTTAGAGACAGAGCATTCTTCTTAAAATTTTCATAAGACGCGAGCAACCTCCCTATTTTAGAACTCACACACTAAAAAATTCCCATTGAACAACGTTTCTAGAAATAATTATTAATAACCCATACAAATAGTTGTTCCTTGGGGAATTTAACCCGCAGCTCGCAGCGGTTTAGAAAACGCAGTCATTGAGCACGAGCAGTTCAAATTCAAAGTCTGCTATATGTATTTTTTTCACTTTTTATATCTCTACCGGGTGTCATGTATTAAAAATAACTGAGTATTATTATCCTGCGAATAAATTTAATCTAAATTGATGATTTCAATATTTTTGGATTCATAGCTATAATCATATGACATATCATTATGAACGATATTAAACTGAAATTAAAATTGAATGTAACTAATGTAAAGAAGTTTTGTGAGTTAAATTTTAACTCATTAAAGTACCCAAAAAATAAAATCTCCGAACCCCGTGTTTTGGTGTTATTATAGACTTGGTGGAGGACTTACGATCTCGGGGACTTTGTGATATGTTAAATACAGTTAGTTTTATTCATTTATAATTTCTTTGTTGGGTACCACGTCAAAGAGATTTACATCAAGGTCAAAAATTTGTGACATAATTATTGTTTTCACTTTCACATAGTAAAACAATTATAACATTGATATTACAATATTAAAATATTGATCCTCGCTTCAGTCCTTAAACCTCAATATCTCCAGAGAAGCATTTTGTAGGTTGAATTATTTTTGTCTTACACGCCCAACTCAAATTTCATTAATACTGATAGAGTACACAGTGGTCTTACATAAATTTGAACTGCATCAAAGCTATTTTATAATACATGCCTTTAAAATAATTCAATTATAAACGTAATAGCGAGGGTTACATTTAGGCAGAAATAATGCCTTGTGGTTGTTAATCAAACTCATGCGTCTCATAAAACAATAAGGTGCTCTATTGAGGTATAATAAGACAACCTAACAGACCTAGGTTCCTGAAATTGTCTGGATATTGCTATGTGATTCTGCCTTGTCAAACAACATACAGAAATGGTGGTACTCAACGATAATTCGATATAATATGATAATGTTCTATATTATACCAACCACCGTAAGCAAGGACAAGTTCTTAATAAAACATAAATTGTTGTTATTTGCTACCAGACTTTAATTTTAGTATTGCTAAGAAACATCAGTGATATCCTACATTGTATTCAAAACAGGAGATTTTTTCGAAAATAATATACCATTTGTTTTATTATAATATATAATATACGCTATATTTAGTTTTACAATGTTTGTGTTTGTTATCTAACTTTTTTTTTATATAGAATAGGATTACAAACGAGCACACAGACCACCTGATGGTAAGTGGTTGCTGCGGCCCATAGACATCTACATCTATCCTCCATTAAAAATCAAAATGCAGATGCGTTGTCACCCGTGAGGACTAAGATGGAATGCCTCGTTTCCAGTAAAAAGGGTCTCCGGTTCTCTACACTCACCATACGAAATACAGCAGCATTAAGCTACTATTTCACGCTGGTATTCTGTGAGAGCGTGGTCCTTCCCCGGTCGAGCCGACCCATTCGTGCTACAACTATACTACTAATATAACTGCAGCATGGCTCTACCACGTATGAAAACTAACTATATCAGTAACATCATTTTATTTTATTTATATAACTTATGTTATTTCAAGATCTGTTTTAAGGACGCGGTTATCTTATTTGAAATAATAAACTAGTTTTTTCCGCACTATAAGTAGATGATAGTTAAAGAACAACTATGTAATTCAAATTTCGAATATTTATAATGACTCTATGTTGCCAAATATTTATTAATAATTACTGGCCGTTGCTGCCTGTGATAAGTATAGCCATACAGCGAGGAAACGCAGCCAGAGTTCTTGGCACGATACCTCGGGAGGTAGGACTATATCATAATAAAAAAAGTTAATTTTAGTTTTTCTTTATTATAACTTATTTTTAAATATTTTTTGTAACCTTTAGGTTAAATTTAATTTTGTTTTCATGTTGAATAATATTAAATAACGACCAATCAATATTTTAAATAAAATATAATTGTTTGTAAAAATGCAATTTTAAACGTACATTATTAATTGCGTAAGTGTATTTTTTGGAAAGTATAGCGAAAAATACTAACTTGAGGTTGCGTTTGGTACTGATGTTGCGGCGCAGCTAATACACACCCCAGTACCGCCAACGTAATGCACTGACGAAACATATTACCACACACCTTTATCAAGTTATTAAATTTAAAAATAAAATATAATTAAGTACCACTACACACGCGTCGCACTGGTCGTATGTTGTGTGCAAGTAACACTCACTTTATATACCTGCATCCCTTCTAGACTTAAGTAGTTGAAGGCGGGAGTGGAAGTTAAGCTCGTGAGCGTGATTCGAAATTTAAATTGGAGCATACATTTCTATAATTCATAAAATTTACAGGATAATTTCTAATTTAAAAGGTAGCTATTTTTGTTACTGAATAGTAATAAAATAATGATTTTTTTTGTTTAAGATGCTGTAAGCTCGTTCTGCATAGACCGGACCAAAAACTAATATTCAAAAACTGAAGGTAGCCGGGCTAAAGCGCAAATAAAAAAATAATAAAGAAAGAAATAATAAGCGAAAATAAATATTATTCATAAATTATTAAAAACGAGTTTATTCCTGTTTACATTCCATTGGTAAGAGATGTGGCAGCTCAAGGGGTAAGTGCTCGACTTAAAAATAACCAGATTTGATTACCACAGGCATCAATAAACAAAGAACAAAGATCACTCCCGTTCTATTTTCAAAGCAAAGCAGACCTTTTTGTCATAAAAACGTTAGCCCCCACAGTAGGATTTTATCTTGAATCGTGAAGGCGCGTTGCATACATAAATCAAACAAGGAAAAACATCTAAAGATACCAAACTTTTTTCAGTGCCGAATTCAAATCTACAACCCTGCAGTTTCGCCACCAATTGCTTAGCTACTGTTCTACTTAGGCAAACTTTAACGATCGATTATCTGAATACCTCATCAGATTCTCACTTATCTTTATCCAAACCAGTTTGAAGTTGCTTTGGGCTACGTTTGCACTCCCAAACAGGTTTCCGTCTTGTCGTGGTGAGGAGGCCTATTAGCTGTGGCTTGGTCACTAATGGTGAACTAAGAAGAGGCTACATGGCTGCCACGACTCCACCTCGGTTACAGCAGTAGCCGAGGTGGAGTTGCGGGGGAAGAGGAGTAGGTATGGCGATGCGTCAATCGCTATATCCTCGCAGGTTGTACCCTTGATATGGTGGTGATGTGGCACGGGGGGAGAGCCGTGACGGTATTGGTTAGCGCCGCTTTTCCTACCCTTCCGCGGCCAAAACTTGGTTGACGGTGGAGCAACAGACCAGATCCGCCGCTAAGTTAGGAGAGGGTGGTACTTCCAAGTGCTCGTTTTTTTGGCCCCATGACCCACCAAAAGAGGATAAAGACTACATTGCTTGTAGTCTGTGGGTTGAGAATCCGTTGCGTAGGTGGAAGACTTTTTATACGTGGTATGTTGCAGTTATATTAGTAGTATAGTTGTAGCACGAATGGGACGGCTCGATCGGGGAAGGACCACACTCTCACAATACCAGCGTAAAATAGTAGCTTAATGCTGCTGTGTTTCGTATGGTGATTGTAGAGAATCGGAGATCTTTTAACTGGAAACGAGGCATTCCATCTTTGTCCTCAGGGGCGACGACGCATCTGCGTTTTGATTCTATTCTCATTAAATAGGGGTGGTGTCAAAGAAAACATTCTACCTCTAAAACTCTAGGGGTGGCAAAATAGGGGATAATTTTTAAAAGTAACAGTTAACACAATATTAAGATTCCTTATTCCATTCAAAAAGGGAAAAAATAACTTAATTAAGTAAAAACTGTTTAAGAATAAAATAATCTAAAATAATAATCTGAAGTCTTCAGAATGTGAAATTGTTTTATTCTTTATAGTTCTTTGAAGTCCAATTTTACTTTTTTTAATTTTTTTTACTCACGTTTATTATTTATTTTTTTATTTATTACATGTACCAATTGATTTGATACGAATTTGACATATAAGTACAGTACACGTTTAATACGTGTTCAACTTTGAAGATAAATGTCGAAGGGAAACCGGGGCGTGTCAGATTTTTTTTAAATATTAATTTGACAAACCACACCACACAACAGTTAAGAGAAGTATGTCGAGGTCTGCGTTCCTGCAATGTTGATTAAAAATGCCCGTTTAAATTATTGTTTAAGATAAAATTGGCCGATCTACGAATGTATTTTTAGTTGTACGTTGTTGTGAATTATCTGTGCCAACCTTATGATCAAATATTAACTTTACTTGCAGTGCACCTTTTAGACAAATAGATACTTTGAAGTAACATGACAAAACAACATTATTAGTGCAAGATTATTTGTTCCAGACTCACCATTCTGTTTGCATACTTTCACAGTGCCAACGTCGAATATTGCATTCAAAAGTATGTTTTAGAAGTTGTAATAATTTAATATAATAAGTATGACAGTTTTGCTGCAAGATAAAGAAGCAAGTAGTTACTGAAAACTCATATATTATATAATATATAATAATCTCATATATTAATATATAAATTTTCTGCTAGTTTACTTGAAAAATTAACGACCCGGCAGCACAGTGGATAGCATTTGGCTGCGGAGTTAAGAGCGCCACGTGTGATTACAAAAATTATTGTAATTTCGGATAGTGTTGTTGTCCATATAAGATAGTATAAAAGATTATCAAAAATCAAAGAGAAACTTTAAAGTATGGGCCTTACGAAGCATAAAAGCATCTACAAAGATTTTCGGAAACTTATCCTAACAATCTTCTCAAATCTTCTTGAGAAGATAGTTAATATCCGTCTGCTGAAGTATATCGAGAAGTTGAAGCTAGTTTCCGATAGACAGTTTGGGATTAGGGTAGGGAAGTCCACTGAGGATGCTATTAATTCTGCTGATAAATCGAATTTCATCGAAGGTGGATAGTGGTAAATGTAGTCTTGGTATTTTTCTGGACCTTTCTAAGGCCTTTGACACCGTGTCTAGACAAATATTGTTAAAGAAGCTCGAAGGTTTTGGAATTCGCGGTAATGCTAGGAATTGGTTTCACAGCTCTCACTAATCGATACCAAAGCGTGCAAATAAGGCCTGTTCACACAAGTTCCCAGCTTCAGGTGACCTTCGGCGACTCTTTGTTCTGTATATGAATGACCTTCTAGAACTCAAAATACCTCAGTGTGAAATAATTTGTTACGCAGATGACACCGTTGTCTTATTTCATTGTCTATCCTGGAAAGAAGTAAGAAAGCTGGCCGAGAACGGTATGGGTCAAGTGGCTGGGTGGTTGAATCGTAATTTTTTGACATTTAATGCGAAAAAATCCAAATACATGTGTTCTAATCCATTGATGCTGAACGACATTTCAGTCCATACTTGTGACATTCTGCAACATTGTGATTGTGAGGGTATTGCGAGAGTGGAGACGATCAGGTACTTGGGTGTAATTGTTGACCACAATCTTTCCTTCAAACAACATATCTCATACCTCTCAAATCGAGTCAAGAAGGTTATTTACATAATGAAGTTACTCAGGAACTGTGCTGATAAAAAGACACTTCGTATGGTTTATTTTGCCCTCTGCCAATCCATAATACAATATTGTGTATCAGCTTGGGGTGGTGCCTCCAAAACCACGGTGTTGCGATCGGAGAGGGCACAGAGAGCAGTTCTCAAGGTCATGTATAAAAAGCCCTACCGGTACCCTACGGCCGATCTTTATCGGGATAGCGAGGTTTTGAGTGTACGCCAGTTGTATATTCTACCCGCAGTTTTAAAAACCCATGGGCAAGTAATTCAGTCGCCTATTTACGACCACCTAATCACTAAACGAATATTTAAAATCCCAATTCCGGCTGCCAGCTCTGTTTCCGCGCAACGTCTCCCACAGTTCTCACATCCTCATATTTATAACAAAATACTTAAAGTCTGTGACATCAAAACTTGCACCACATTGAAAGCTAAACAAATAGTAAAAAGATATCTCACCACACTAAATAATAATGATACCGAAAACTTAATATTAAAGCAAAAATAATACCAGATTATATCTACGTTTCACACTAAAATATTGTATTCATATTTTTCCTAGGAATAAAAAATAAATATTAATGTAAGCGACAAATAGTTAAAAACTATCTTCCTAAATTAAGAAATAATTTATTGTTCTGTATAATTTGGGTACTTTTAATTACGTAAGTAAAACTGATAACCGTACTCCCGGTCCCCAAGATACAGGCTATGCCTAGTTTGGGGAACGCCAGTAACTTTTTTTATGTAATAAGAATTTATATGTAATTAGTATTTAATTTAATATAATATAAGTTAAAATTAATTTAATATAACTCACTATTTTTTCCCCAATGTTCAGGTCTGTTATTTCTAGGAATAAATGATTTTTATTTATTTTATTTTATTTTACTTGACCCTGTCTGGCCATAAAGTAAAAGTAAAGTTACAGCCTATATACGTCCCACTGCTGGGCACAGGCCTCCCCTCATTTCTGAGAGGCAAGAGTTTCAATTGCAATTAACAATTTCATTGGTGAAAGCGGGGATCGAACCCGGGTTACTCGCGTTCTGTTATATTTACAGCGAGTGTTAACCATCTGAGCTACCACTGCTTATGTCTGGCCATGTTTGTCGGTAACTAAATTAAAATACGGGACCAGTGACTCATCATCATCATCATACCTAATTATCTTTACTTCACAAGTCCACTGCTGAACATAGACCTCCGCCAAGGAATGCCACAAAACATGGTCCTGAGCCACCTGCATCGATCAACTTCCTACATGTCTTACTAGGTCGTCACTCCATCCATTGAGGGATCGCCCTACACCTCGCCTACACGCACGAGGATGCCACTCGAGAACGTTTTTTCCCCATCGGTTGTCGGTTCTGAGCGTATATGGCCGGCCCATTACCACTTCAGCTTACTAATCCATTGGACTGCCAGTGACTCAGTAATTACTAATTAGGCTTAGTCAATACTAAGCTTCAAGGCATATACAACTCGCGTACAGAAGGTTACCCCTGGGAATGAGATGGTCGCTTCCAATTTTGTAAATAGTTTGTAACAATTCTTATTGTAAATTCAAAAAAAGTTCTTCTGTGTTTCTTGCTGGTTCTTC